CTCACGGTTTGTATTTTTCCTGGTTTATGAAATTGATTTAAGTTAAATTTTTGCGCCTGCGCATTTGTAAGATTATGTCAAGAAACCGGGATACTCCATTTGATCATGTATACGCGGATATGAGTATCCCAGTTTCTCAGTGCGCATGTATATGCAGTAACCCAAATACTGACATAACCGGGATATGGCTAATAACCGGGTTATTGATGTGCATGTATACACACTCACAGTGTTCTCCAAGTTCAGATGAGCGTGATTGACAGGTGGTTTAGCCAATCAAGGACGAGCAATGGTCCGTCTGTATCAAAACAAATACAGCTTGTGAGGAAAACGAAGAGAAAAATATCACAGGAGACTGAAAAACATGGTGGATTTCTGCAGACTGGTGAGGTCGTTTCACATTTCCAATTAAAAGCGACTTGTATGTGATCTCCAGTGTGAACTTTAAATGGCCCAAAAGTGTCCCGGCGAGTGTGCTCAGTGTTCACAGAAGTCACTTAAGCATGGACGCAGCATCGAGCACCTGGAGATTTTAAAGTTCCTCTCGTACCGGAGCCAGAACAACTTGTACAACTGATTTGTTTTAAGGAGGAGATTGAGAAGGAGAAGGACGAGGTTTTTGGCCGTGGCGTTTCGTAGGGCAGCGGCAGCGACAGCGACATCCGTAGAAAAGAACATGTGAGTGCAGAGTCGCAGCCAAGAGTGCGCTGATTGATCTAGGCTTCACTGCTTCACTGACACGATAGTACAGACACAATTTTCTTATGATGACAAGAATGTTTGTGCACATTTGTGACGTGTAGGTGGGATGAATGTGGCCTGGCCGTTCACACTGAAGTCGCATGTCAACAGATCGGATATGTATCGATTTTAGGAGCACATATCCAAGTGGCCTGGGTCAGATTTGAAAAAAAAAAAAAATCAGATCTGTGTTGTTCAAACATCAGATACAGGAGCATAGGGGTGAAAAAAAATCTGATTTGGGTCACTTCAGGCTGCAGTCTGAACGTAGACTAAGCGAAGCCCAAAACTTTTCATCTGAGGTGAGAGAAAAGTGATTTTGTTTGTAAATGATGGCGACCAGTGAGATCCTTCGTTTCAGGTGTTACTGAAAGAAACAAATCTGATTGGACGATCCCGTTTGGGTCTGACTCGAGACACAATGAAGGAGTGATGCCCAGACCGAGATCATTATAAGCCTGGACCGCTGCCCTGGGACAGACTGACGGAAGTGTGGCTGCCAATCTTCACCATGTCTCCTCCAACACTCGGGCCCAGTTCTTTTCAGTCTTTTCCCTTTGACATTAAATGGCTAAATGATCTTGTCCGTAGGGGGCAGTCCGCTACAAAGCCTCATGTGGCTCTGGGACCAGTTTGTCCGGAGTTAATTAAATTAGCAGGACCAGCGCCCCCCAGAGGACGTCTGCCACATCACACCTCCCAGACTCTGGTCTCTAAGCTCTAATGACCTGAGGGACGGTCCGGAGCTCCAGTCTGCAGCCTTCAGTCCGCCTTCTGCTTTGGAAGTGTTTTGATATGAGGCCTTGATGAACAAAGATTGTAAAATTAGTTTTTTAAGTTTAGTTAAAATAGTGAAAATGGTGTTAAGACCCTAAGGACACAATAATGTAAACATAATCTGTCTTCATTTGTAAGTAAAGTGAATATTCAGTTTAATTTAAGTAGCACAATGAGGAGCCTTAGTTAGACTGAAAATGCAGTCGGCTGATTTATTTTAGGAAATGTCCAAATTTAAGTTAAGAGTAAATTAATAAATAAATTCACAAAAAAGTAATTTAAGTTCTTAAAAACAAAATTGAATAATTTAATCTAATTGGCAATTGATATGTAATGTTTAAATATATTCCAATTTATTGTAAATGGTGTAAAATGTATTAGTCTGACCAAGTAAAAGGAGCACTCACTTGAAGTGTATATTATTTAGTAATTAAAAGCTATTTATTAATTCATAGAAATTCATTTGTTTCAATTGTTTTATATATCTGTAATTAAAAATTGAAGCCTAAGTTAGTAGGGGGCCCGATCAAGCAGAAGTAAACAGCAAGGCCAAAAATTCAAGTTAATTCATCTGATATAAAAATGTATTGAACAGATACATATGTACTCTAGTTTATGAAACTGTTGACCTTTTTTCTGTACCATTTTTGGTTCTAAAGTTCCATACGTTTTAAACTGACCATGTATGAAACATGAAACAAAAATTATTTCCCAAATTTCAAAGACCTGCAAATCCTCTTCAGGTTAAATTTCAAGCTTAATCTTTGACTAATCTATTCGATCTTTGACTTGTTGATGAAGGTACAGGATTTAAAAAAAAAAAAAAAAAAAAATTTTAAATGATAAAATTTGCTTGGAAGGACTGACATATTTTATAGAAATAGTTTCCTTTCATTTTGAAGTAATATTAAAGTTTTCAGAAGAAAAAAGTTGACAAATGATGTAAAATCCTGCACCTTCTACTTGTTTGCACAATTTTCCCTCCGTTACTTTTCCCTCCGTTACCATGACCTTTAAAAATCTCATGAGTCAAAAAGTAAGAGGTTTTTCAACCTAATCTTGTACCATATGGTAGAAAACTATATGAAGCAAATATTCAAACCAGTTTGTTAAGGATATGGAAGTGAGAACCAAGAGTTATCACTGTTTGGATTTATTGACCAAAAAGTGCTGCATATTTCATTCCCTCTGTTACTGACATGAGTTTTTAAATTTTTTGTCAACAACTTGAAAGAATATCACAGGTTTAACTTGACCCTGTTGGAGTGTAACTCTTTCCTACATTCTGATACTTTACTTATTTCAATAGTTCCTCTAGTTTCTGAATAAGAGACATTTGAATGTCAAAAATCTGCCCCTGTTTCCCTCCGTTACCACTTGACCAGACCCATTCGTAGGTGGGAAGGTTAAATACAAGTAGATTAAAATACTAACATAAATGTTAAATGTAAATTTTTATTACATTATTCCACATATTTGTTTATTTTAAAGGTTTTCGACCTACTACTACTACAACTACTACTACTAGTACTACTACTTCTACTACTAGTACTACTACTACTGCTGCTGCTGCTGAAGAAGCAGAAATAAATAAATAAAAGTCTCCAAGCTGAGTTGAGCCTTGTGTTTGTTTTCTGGGTTTTTCACATTGGATCTGCATTCTTCTATTAAAGACCTGACCCCTGCTCTGTGGTCCAGCTACAGCAGGATGTAGAAGTGACGGGCGACTCAGAGAAACATGATCCACAGGGGAAACGACCTGGACATAGGAGCTCACAGTGCAGTGTAACAAAGAGCAGAAAATACTAATAAATGTAAATAAAAATCTAAATTATGTAAGTAATAAAGGTGCTGTGAGTTCGGGCGGAGGGCGGGCGTGAAATAGCTGTCAATCAAACGTGTTACTAAGGCTGGAGCGATCTCGGGGAAAGGAGGCGCCTGATTGGTCTGTTATTAATGTTCATATCCTCTGTGCAGGAGACGCAGTGTTATAAAAGTTTTGGAACAGAGCGACAGGTGCAGAGGAGGATCTGTGACAGGTGCTGACAGGTAAAAACTCACACTAATCATGACTTTATTTGTTTAATGAAATGTGTTTTAAATAAAGTGTGTTTAGAGTGGTTACACTGGTTTATAGATTACAATTTTTGAAACTTATTTTAGTTTAATCGTTTGATTCAAAAGTGCTCAAATCATTTGAACATTTCTTGTCAGTTCATACATTTCTCAGACACTTTGGCACAGCTCTCCTTCACAAAAAACTGTCTTTATTGTGTTATGTAAAATATAAAAATGTTAAGTAGATTTTGTGAAGTAGACAGGCAAATCCAGATTCAAAACGGTTCTGTTCAGCTGCGTCTTCTCTCTAATTTATGTAATTAATGTCTCTTTTTCTCTCTTTTTTAATTTTAATCTTTAATTTTATGATGATTATTTATGTTTTGATTTGTTTTTATTGTGAATTGAGTGTATTTTTAATTCTGTAAAGCACTTTGAGTTACTTTGTGTATGAATTGTGCTGTACAAATAAACTAGATTTTGCAGTATTTGATCACAGATATTGAAAGATGTTGGAATAGGAAATACATCAACATGTTTGTGCTGTAATTTGTGGTGTGTTCTTGAAAATCGAACAAGAACCGTAAGTCTCTGAAGATCTGTGTTTAGTCACTCGATGTTTGCTCACAGCTCAGATCTATGAGAAGCCGTGAAGGCCAAGACTAAACCAAGACTAAACTAGGACTAAACCAGGACTAAACCAAGACTTAACTAGGACTAAAACCAGGTCTGAACCAGGACTAAACCAGTCCAGGACTAAACCAGGACTAAACTAGGACTAAACCAGGACTAAACCAGGACTAAACCAGTCCAGGACTAAACCAGGACTAAACTAGGACTAAAACCAGGTCTGAACCAGGACTAAACTTGTCTTATTAGTTCGGTTGCCTACTAGACAATCAGAACTGAAAGTAGTTTTATTTTTTTGCAAGTACAATTCCATTTTTGTTTACATCAATTACATATGATTATTATTAATTTTCTTATGTTTAAAAGTAAAACTACTCTCATATAATGTCATATTGAGAGAAAAACAAATTGCTCTGAGGCCTCGGGTATTAGTGGCACTAAGGGAAATTAGTTGGGGGGCCCCTCCAGGTTTGGGGGCCCTAAGCAGCCGTCTACTTTGGCCTAATGGTAGTTGTCTGCTTTAGACGGTAAACCTTTGATTTTTGCTGTTTTTAGATGGTAAAATGCCGCAGATGTTATTGATTTGATGTGGCTGTTAAAGTTCAGTCTGAGTTCATTATTACCCCTCGATTTCTTGCCTGATTTGAAGGTTTTAGAGAGAGAGACTGGAGGTGACTGCTGACACTGTCTCTTTGTTTCTGTGGACCAAACACTATGACTTGTGTCTTGTCTGAGTTTATCTGGAGAAAGTTGTTTTGTTTCCACGCACTGACCTCCGCTTTCTCCTCAGAGTGATGTCCAACAGCTCAGACAGTGTGGACCTTCTGCTGGAGGGTCTGACCCTTGACTCCGACCACTTACTCCCTGTCTTCCTGCTCCTCCTCTTCGCTTACATCTTCGTCCTCTTCTCAAACTTCTGCATGTGTTTCCTCATCATCAGCGAACGTTCTCTGCATCAGCCCATGTACCTGCTCTACCTCAACCTGTCCACCAACGACATGCTGATCAACACCACTGTGATGCCCCGCCTCCTTTACGACATGCTCCGCCCCCCCGCGCTGCGTCACATCCACCTGTACGGCTGCGTGGTCCAAGCCTTCCTCTCACACCTGTTCAACACCACCGGCTACACCATCCTCATGATCATGGCGTTTGACCGCTACGTGGCCATCTGCTTGCCACTGCGTTACTCCGCGCTCATGAATGCCCGGATGCTGGTGAGACTGATGGTGTGGGCGTGGGGCGTGGCGTTTGTGTTCGTGGGGGTTCTGATTGGGCTCACGCTCAGACTGTCGATGTGCCGATCTCTGGTCTCGGGTCTCTACTGCAATAACGCATCTCTGTTCAAACTCTCCTGTGAAAGCACCTACATCAACAACGTCTACGGCCTGTTCTTCACAGTGATTCTGTTCTCCAGCTCCATCGGCTCCGTTGTCCTCACCTACACCAAGATCACAGTGGCGTGTTTGACCTCTAAGAGCGCGTCTCTGAACCGTAAGGCGCTCCAGACCTGCTCCACACACCTGCTGTCCTACCTGGTGTTCCTGTGCAGTGGGCTGCTCATTATCACATTCCACAGATTCCCACAGCTCACGCAGGAGAGGAAGTTCATCACGATCATGTACCACCTCCTCCCCAGCGGCCTCAACCCGCTCATCTATGGCGTCCAGTCCAAAGAAGTCCGCCGTGGATTCAGAGGGATGGTTTCCAAGATCATCACTGTCACACAAAGATAGAAAACTAACTTTAAAAGTTACAATATTACACAAAATGGATTCTGGTGAGCTTTTAGCCTTGTTATAATGCCATTACTTCCTCCAAAACATACTCGGAGTTGTGTTTTGTTTCATTCACACTTGTTTACATCTACAAAACTCAAGCTCTCTTCCACCTTATGATGAGTTTAACCACAGAAGACCACTCACTGTATAACCACGTGAGCTCCAATTATTATTTGGTTTGGTGGGTTAACACGTGTGGTCAGTATTTATCATATAGTTTTACATCAGTTAAGTGGAAGTTTGTGGACAAAACGTTGAAAATAAAAGTACAAAAATATAGAAAGTAGCACTGAGTTGTCAAACAGAATCCCTCTAACTATGTCATCTACTGGGAAAACTCAAATTCAAAGACAATTTAGATGTTCATTTAACTTAAAAAAGGTGTTGTCATTTATTTCTAACTATTGTACTAATTAAAGAAGCTCTGGTCCTTGTTCCCATTATGGTTATTGAGTTACCTCCACGTACGTCTCATGTGCTGCCCATGTCCAACCAAACTATGATAAAATGAAATGAGTCATCTAACTTGTCATACAAACTGTAAAAAAGTAAAAAAATATTTTGAACTCTTTGCAGTGGTCCAAAGCTATTTCTCACTAAAGCATCCAAACATCCTAATTACTCACACAGAGAGATACTTTATTAATCCCAAGGGAAATTCAGGTGTTACTGTAGCAAACGGTTAATGTTGTTTCAACATTTACACTGCACGTCCCAGTGGCCTTTGTGTCTCAGTTAAAGGTCTCAGTGCAGTTTCACAGGAGCACTGGTCAGGGAGGGTCAGCAAATCCTGTGGAAAAGCCAAAAAGATCCCTCCTCTGTGTCCAGGGGGAACCAGCTGAACACAACAGGAAAGGCCTCGTTCTTACTCCGCTCTGGGGTTTTGGTTGATGATGAAATGATTAATTCCCTCAAAATGTTTCTTCTGGAAAGTCTGCTGCCACATTTGCTGCCACATATGGTGATAAAAACCTGTAGCAACTCAAATGTCTGTAGCTATGTCCCTAGCTATAGTCCACACAGTAGGGGTCTCACTCTCAGAAGGAACAATAACAGACAGTGAGGACAGTTACAAGTACCTTGGTATCTCACAACAAAATGATAATGTCAAAGAAGAAACAAGGAAAACGGCTATGGCCAAATACTTACAACGAGTAACGCAAGTCATAAAAAGTCAACTCAATGGCAAGAACAAGTCCTGAGTAATAAACAGCTTTGCCCTAGCCAGTGATCAGATGCCCAGCAGCAATCTTAAGCTGCCCAAAGGAGGAGATACAGACCACACACGAAAGCTTCTGACCGTGCACGGAGGGTTCCATCCCAAATCCCTGAGGCTGTACATGAGCTGGAAGGAAGGAGGCTGAGGACTAGTGGATGTGGGAACCACTGTCCAGGATGAAACATCCAACCTCCATGAGTACATCAAGGACAAGGCCCCGACAGATGAGGTGCTCAGAGAATGTCTCAGACAGTGGGGTCCAGAGGAAGGGAGCTGGAGGGACCATCATGGCAGGACAAACCCCTACATGAACCACCGGAACATAACTGAAGTGGCTGATATCAAGAAATCCTACCAGTGACTTGAAAGGGCTGGTCTGAAGGACACATAGAGAATCATCCTGGCTGCTCAGGAGCAGGACCTGGGCACTCGAGCAATAGAGGCCCAGATCTACCACACCAGACAAGACCCATGGTGTAGACTGTGCAAAGAGGCTCCTGAGACAGTCCAGCACAGAACTGCAGGTGTAAGATGTTGCAGGGAAACAAACATGGTGCGACAGAACCAAGTGGCTGGAGATCCCAGGGTCAAGGTGGGAAACACCTCCAAAGGTTGTAGAGAATGACTGAGCCAAGATCCTGTGGGACTTCCAGATACAGACTGACAAAATGGTGGTGGGCCAACCAGACAAAGTGGTGATGGATAAGAAACAGATCAGAGCTGTGGTGGTAGATGCTGCAATACCAAGCAATGGAAATATCAGGAAAAAGGAACACGAGAAACACCAGGGGCTCAAGGAGGAGCTGGAGAAGGTGAAGGCATCAGTTGTGCCCATGGTGATCGGAGCACTCGACGCCGTAACCTCCAAACTGGAAAACACTACAACAGATACCAGGAAAAACAACAGACATCTCAGTACAGAAAAGTGCAGTACTAAGAATAACAAAGATACTGAGCAGAACTCTCAGGCTCCCAGGCCTCTGGTAGAGGAGCCGAGCTGGATCAGTGAGGAAAAGATTATATATATATAAGATGTGATAGCTCAGTTCAATTCACTTGCTTTATTGTCACTGTCATATAAAATCACAACGCAATTACATTAGAGCATCACAGACAAACTGAGTAGTATGTTACAAAAAACTATGCCAGTCTTAGGAGCCAGTCGCCATCTTGTTCCTTGTTCCTGTCAATCAAACTTGATGCCAGCGCTAGAAGGAGCGATCTCGGGGAAAGGAGGCGCCTGATTGGTCTGTTACTTATGTTCATTTTCTCTGTGCTGGAGACGTAGTGTTATAAAAGTTTCGGAACAGAGCGACAGGTGCAGAGGAGGATCTGTGACAGGTGCTGACAGGTAAAAACTCAAACTCATCTAACTTATTTGTTTTATGAAATGTGCTTTAAATAAAATGTGTTTAAAGTGGTTACACTGGTTTATAGTTTACAGTTTTAGAACATTTTTTGATACTTGGTTTATTTTAATCATTTTATTCAAACATGTATCTGAACATTGGGCAAAGGTGCTTAAATCATTTGAACATTTCTGATCTGTTCACACAGTTCTCAGGCGTTTGGGCACAGCTCTCACTCAGAAAAACACACAAGATCAGTGAATTCAGCTTGTTTTATCAATACTACAGGTTTGTACTCATGTGGTAAAGGAGTTTGGTCTGAACTCTGTCACTTTCAATATAGAAACTCAAAAAGAACGGCAAATCAAAATGTGTGAGCTCCCAAAATTTATCAACAAAGGCTTTCAAAAATGAATCAAATGGGAGTATGAATATAGACTGTACATACTTTAAACTGTAAAACCAGTGTGATGTGGTTTAAATGTCTCGTCTGAATTCCCATTATCATCATCATCATCATCTTTATTCCGGACTCATGGTCCATTTTGAAAACAGACAAGGACAGTGACAATACAAAACCTAAAAACATTTATGTTTTTAAAAGACGACCACACCAGTGTCTCCACATACTGGACGAATATCTTATTGCACTGAATCTCATATTTGTGAGTGACATTATTATTTCATTGTCTGATTTGTTCAGTCTGCAGATAAAACTGTACATTAAAATTCTTAGTGCAGCTTGCAAAGTGTTCACTCGTGCAGAAACAAACATTTCCGTCGCACTCGTCCATTGTGGCTCCTCCTGCATGCAGTCTTTGCAAACTGGCTTTTTTATAATTAATCCAGAGGTGAGCTGTGTACAACGGTGAATAATATGATTTAAACAATAACAACTTTGCATCATTTGTACAAGAACCAAATGTAAGCATAAGAGTATTTGCCTGAGCACAGAGCGTCCTACACTGTCCATTACATTTCACAAAGGCAGTGTTTTCTTCAGCATAAATATCTCTGATCACAAACTAGAAAATGTGGTTGTGATGTGCACATTTACTTTTAATGATATATTTTTTACAAACTACAATACAGCTTTTCCTGTCCAAAATTATTCTGTGTATGAAGTACAGTCAGACAGCACAAAACCAGTGATTCTCTGTGGTCATTGTGAGCAGGACTAAGACTTCTGAGACTTTTTCTACCATCAAAATCCTCAGAGTTCATCAAGTGTTTTTCTTTGCTCTGTCAAATGAACGAAAGAACAAAGAAAAACACATGGTGAAGTCTGAGGGTTTTGATGGTAAAACTTACTTTTGGTGAGATGACTGATCAGTTTTGAATGTAAAACTGCATTTTGAGGAGACAGAATTTGGTTTTGTTAAACTAAAATTGTGTTTGGGATATCTTGTATGAGCTGTTTTGTGTCCATTTCAGTGTCAATTTTCTATAGATAAAAAGCGATTGAAAATTAAAAACCTGTATTAAAAGCTTACTCAGACTTGTGTGAATGAAACAAAACAACTCCAGGGATGTTTTGTAAGTAGGTAACAGCATTGTGAATGTGGCTTTAAGCTCACTCAATGTCACTTTAATGTTGTAGGGCTCGTACTCGATATGACTAAAATTTGTAGTATCTCAAATTTTAACTAAACAGGAAAATAAAAATGAATTCTTAAAAGTGACGATACGGAATAGACTGATACAATAATACCGATTCCAATACCACAATGATAATTAAAAATAAAAACCCTTTAGACAATAAAATGTGATTGTTAATGTTAAATGAGAGTACATTCTTTTCTATTACCATGTGGTCTTATATCTGTGTAATCCCTCAGTCGTAGGTTCCATGAGCATGAACTAGTCTAAAACTATTCAGGAAAGGTTCATTTTTGTCCTGTGAATGTGACTTTTTTTTTAGTATTGATACCTGCTCAAATGAGGATCTAGTTTCAGTAGTTTTGAAGAGTTCTGATGTGATGTCACAGTCCTACAGTTCATACTTTCTAGCATTTTAGGTCTTTGCACATTATTGGTATATCAAAATTCAAAAAAAGTTTATTGTCAATTTTCATATAAAGAATTGAAACTGTGTTCCTCACTCCTAATCTTCTAAATAAATAATAATAATAATAATGCACGGAAAAGTGCAAGTGTTTCCTGACTGCCTGGTGGTTATAAAGGGGTGAGAGTTCAGCATCCTAACAGCCTGGTGTTAATGCAGCAACTGTACCTCCTCCCGTGGGCAGGAAGCTGAACAAAGTGTATGTGGCGTGACTTGCTTCACTCACAATTGTGATTGTGAGACAGGTGGTGTATGTGCGGGTGAGGCGGGTGGTGTATAAGTCTTGCAGGGAGGGGAGTGGTGCACCAGTAACCTTCAGAGCTCTCCTGTCATGGTCAGTGCAGCTTCTGCCCCACACAGTGATGTAGCTGAAAGGTGCTCTCATTGGTTCCTCTGTAGATTGTGGTCATGACGGTGGTGAGGCTCTTGTCCGCTTGAGTTTTTGCAGGTAGTAGAGGCGCTGCTGGGCTTTCTTCACCAGTGCTGTGGTCCAGGAGTCCTCACTGATGTGCACCCCCAGGAATGTAGTGCTGCTCACTCTCTCCACAACAGCACCGTTGATGGTCAGGGTCTGGTGTTGGGTGTGGCCTCTCTGGAAGTCGACAACAATCTCCTTAATCTTGCTGACATTCAGCTGGAGGTTATTATCTCTGCACCACGTGGTCAGAAGGTCATCCTCTTTCCTGTAGAGAGTCTCGTCGCCTTTGGAGATGAGACCCACCAGAGTTGTGCAGTCATGTCAGCAGGGTGAAGAGCACAGGACTGAGTGTGCAGCCTTGGGGAACCCCTACGCTCAGACTGATGGTGTTTGAGGTGTTTTTGCCAACATGTTCTGCTTGCAGTCTCTGGCTCAGGAAGTCCAGCAGCCAGTTGAAAAGGGAGGTGCTGAGACCCAGCTTGTGGAGTTTGCAGATGAGTTGTTGTGGTATTATGGTGTTGAATGCTGAACTGAAGTCTATGAAAAGCATTCTCACATATGAGTCTTTATTGTGCAGATGGGTGAGGGCAGGTGGAGGGCAGAGCAGATCGCATCCTCTGTGGAACGTTTGGCTCGGTTTGTGAACTGGAAGGGGTCCAGGGTGAGGGGGGGAGGATGGATTTGATGTGAGACACGACTAACTGTTCAAAGCTTCATGATGATGGAACCTGTGTGATATATCCACTACCAAACACAAGAAATATGAATGTGGCAAAAATAACAGCATCCTGTAATGATATACAGGTCACAAGAGGGCGCTGTCGGGCTTTCAATGTTTCTCATTTTAAGAACGAATTGCAGGTTGTTGTTCGCTCTCATTAAAGCAGTTGCTAACACACGTTGTAGCAAGTCGCATTTCATTATATGGCGTCAGAAAAAAAGAAAAATTTGAACTTTACGTGACCGCTACAGGCACTGAAGCAAAGTCTCAGAAAGTACAGAGCAGCACATTACTGCATGTCATTGGGGACAAAGCTCTAGAAATATACAATACCTTTGAATTCACGCAGCAGGAGGACAGATTTAAGCTCAAAATACTATTGGAGAAATTCGACGAATATTTTACCCCCCACAGGAATGTGACTTTTGAGAGACACGTGTTCAACACTCGTATACAGGCCCCCGGTGAGAACATAGACCAGTTCGTTACGGACTTGAGAACGAAGGCAAGGTCATGTGAGTTCGGACCATTATGTGACAGCTTAATAAAAGATTGAATTGTCGTGGGAAGAAGGGATAACCAACTAAGGGCAAAGTTGTTGAGAACAGCAGACTTAGACTTACCCAAAGCTATCTCCATATGTCGTGCTGCAGAGGCCAGCCGCATGCAACTGGACAAATTACAAACACCACAAGCTGAGTGCACTGTCAATGAAGTCAAAAAGGAGCGCGGCAAAAAATCTCAACTGCCATCTGTTACATCACGCAGGCAAAACACGATTCAGGACTGTAAATACTGTGGAAGAGACCACCAGAGGGGAAAATGTCCCGCCTATGGAGAAAAATGCAAAAAAATGAATCACTTTTCGAGCAAGTGCATTGTCATACTCAAGAAAAAAGTCAGTACACATGGAAGAAATGTTCATAGACATGGTGAAATCAAACAATGATGATGACTGGGAAGTGGACCTCATAATAAATGACAGCACAGTAAGATTCAAAATAGACACGGGGCTCAATGCAGTGTCATACCAGAATCAATCCACAGACAGACCGGTGCACAACTAGTGAAATCTAAAGCAAAGCTAGTGACTTATGGAGGACAATGTTTAAAGCCAGTAGGAAAATGCCAGCTGTTGACAGAATACAAGGGACGACTCCATCATGTCGAATTCCAAAATCTAAATCGGACTGCAACACCACTACTAGGGTTAACAACCTGTGTACGCCTTGGCCTCATAAAACAGATTAGTGAGGTAAAAACACACCCAAGTCAGGATATACAGGAGAAGTATGCGGACATATTTGATGGACTGGGCTGCTTTGAAGGAGAACAACACATCAAGATCAGAGCAGACGCGCAGCCGATCATTCACGCTCCGAGGAAGGTCCCCGTTGCATTGAGAGACAAAATAAAGGCAGAACTCAGAAGGATGGAACACCTGGACGTCATTGAGAAGGTAACAGAGCCCAGGCAGTGTGTAAGCAGCATGGTCACAGTCTGGAAACCAGAAAAACAGAAAATCCGGATATGCATGGACCCCAAAGACCTAAATGCCGCTATCGAAAGGGAACATTACTCTATGAGGACGATTGAAGAGGTGATGGCTCGGATGCCAGCAGCAAAGGTATTCAGCACGCTGGATGCTCAATGTGGATACTGGCAGGTCAAGCTGGACAAAGAAAGCTCAGCTCTGTGCACCTTCAACACTTCTTTCAGTCGCTACGCATACAAAAGGCAACCATTTGGAATAAATACAGCTGGGGAAATATTTCAAAGACTCATGACTGAAATGTTTGAGGATATGGAGGGAGTAGAGGTAATCATTGATGACATCCTCGTATGGAGGGCAAATGAAGAACAACACAACCAGAGGCTGAAAAGGGTATTGGAACGAGTGAGGGAAAAGAACATCAAACTCAACCCAGAAAAATGCACATTCGCAGTACAAGAAGTGAAATACATGGGGCACATCTTGACAGCAGAAGGACTTAAGCCAGACCCCAAGAAAGTGGAGGCAGTCAAGAAAATGCAAAAACCCATGAACAAGACTGAATTACAGATATATCTAGGGATGATAACATACCTAGGAAAATTCATACCACATCTATCCACTGTAACTGCCCCACTCAGAACGCTGTTAGAAAAGACGACAGAATGGAGCTGGATGGAGGAACAAGCTTTGAGAAGCTGCAGGAGATGGTCACAGAAGCTCCAATACTAAAATACTACGACGCATCAAAGCCAATCAAACTAAGCATGGATGCCTCTAGTTGTGGAATAGGAGCTGTACTTTTTCAAGATGAATGCCCCATATCTTACGCATCAAAGGCCTTCACCAACACACAAAAAAGATATGCTCAAATAGAAAAGGAGTTGGCCGCTATAGTGTTTGGATGTGAAAAGTTCTACCAGTATTTTTCGGATGCGCATTCGAAATTGAAATGGATCACAAGCCATTGGAAGCCATAATGAAAAAACCATTGGCCGAGGCCCCGCTAAGACTTCAGAAAATGATATTCAGGCTCCAGAAATACAACATGACAGTGAAATACAAAAAAGGAAAGGAACTATACGTGGCTGATGCCCTGAGCAGGAACTTTCTAAAAGAAACAGACAAAAATGAAAATAATGATGATGTACAAATGTGTGCAGTAATGTGCTTACCCATGGCACCCGATAGACTCCAGGAAATACGCACTGAAACGGAGAAGGATCTAACCCTCACAGTAGTAAAAAAGTTCATCTTCCAAGGCTGGACAGACAAAAAAACAGATACACCAGACAAGGCCAAAGTGTACTGGGACTACAAGAGTGAGATGACAGTAGAAAATGGACTAATATTCAGAGGCAACAAACTAGTGATACCAAACACCATGAGAAGAATGATGCTAAAGAAAGTACACTCCAGCCACCAAGGAATTGAGAAAACAAAGAGGCTGGCAAGAGATATCATATTCTGGCCAGGGATGCAAGCACAGATAACTGACACAGTCTCAAAATGTGGCATATGTAACACATACAAAAGGCAAAACAGAAAGGAACCCATGATTGGACATGACATACCGGAAAGGCCATGGCAAAAAGTAGCCACTGATATATTCAGATATAACTCAATGGAGAACACTACCTCGTCCTTGGTTGACTACTATTCGAACTTCATAGAGTTAAACAAACTAAACACCACAACAAGCCAAGCAGTCATCAACATTTGCAAACAGCAGTTCTCCTGACATGGCATACCTGATGAACTCTGCTCTGACAATGGCACACAGTATTCCTCCGCCGAATTCAAGACATTCAGCAAGTAATATGGATTCAAACATACCACATCATCTCCCACATACCCCCAATCCAATGGGAAGGCCGAAAAGGCAGTGCAGATAGCAAAAAACCTTCTAAAGAAAGCCAAAGCTGACCAACAAGACCCGCGCCTCGCCCTCCTGGACTACCGAAATACGCCCCTGGACGGATTACCCTCACCTGCACAGCTGCTTATGGGCTGCAGAACAAAGACAAGACTGCCCACAGCAAAAAAACTGCTTGAACCAAGAACAATAGAGGGGGTACGGGATAGAATGAGGATCAACCGTGACATTGAGAAACACTACTATGACAGAGGGTCGCACACGCTACCCGCCCTCAGCCCAGGAGACACAGTGAGGTTAAGGGAAGGTAAGCAATGGAGACCAGCTAAAATAGTAGAACCAACACCTGAGCCACGGTCATACATAGTGGAAGCGGACGGACAACAGTACAGGCGAAAAAGAAGGGAACTCATCAAAACTGAGGAAGAGGCCCTTGCATGTACAGAGGGGAAAGGAGAGAATGGGAGAACATTGAGACAAAAGAAAGACGACACACATTCAGGAAACCCAAACCCATAGAAAGACTGAATTTATAACAGAGAGAATGAACTTACCTGAAATGTTTACTCTTAGTATTATTGTTCTCTTACAGGTTACCCAAAGAAAGACTGATTCAAATGTTGCTACTTTATATCTTAAAACGTTACTACCTTAAGTCATTTAAATGTTGATGTTCTAAGTTAACCCCATACAGTAATGTTGTATATGCCGTATTTCAGTTAATTCAAATTAGAAAAGGGGAGATGTAATGATATACAGGTCACAAGAGGGCGCTGTCACGCTTTCAATATTTCTCATTTTAACAACGAATTACAGGTTGTTGTTGTTCACTCTCATTAAAGCAGCTGCTAACTCACACACGTTGTAGCAAGTCGCATTTCATTACATAGCAGCACATCACACCAGCGAGTAGCTGATTATTATTTTTATGGTTCGTATTTAATTTTTTCATTTTAATTTTCTAAACGTGTTCCTCTCCCTTCCGCTCTTTCCTCAGAGTGATGTCCAACAGCTCAGACAGTGTGGACCTTCTGCTGGAGGGTCTGACCCTTGACTCCGACCACTTACTCCCTGTCTTCCTGCTCCTCCTCTTCGCTTACATCTTCGTCCTCTTCTCAAACTTCTGCATGTGTTTCCTCATCATCAGCGAACGTTCTCTGCATCAGCCCATGTACCTGCTCTACCTCAACCTGTCCACCAACGACATCCTAGGCAACACCACTGTGATGCCCCGCCTCCTTTACGACATGCTCCGCCCCCCTGCGCTGCGTCACATCCACCTGTACGGCTGCGTGGTCCAAGCCTTTCTCGCAATCCTGTTCAACACCACCGGCTACACCATCCTCATGATCATGGCGTTTGACCGCTACGTGGCCATCTGCTTGCCACTGCGTTACTCCGCGCTCATGAATGCCCGGATGCTGGTGAGACTGATGGTGTGGGCGTGGGGCGTGGCGTTTGTGTTCGTGGGGGTTCTGATTGGGCTCACGCTCAGACTGTCGATGTGCCGATCTCTGGTCTCGGGTCTCTACTGCAATAACGCATCTCTGTTCAAACTCTCCTGTGAAAGCACCTACATCAACAACGTCTACGGCCTGTTCTTCACAGTGGTTCTGTTCTCCAGCTCCATCGGCTCCGTTGTCCTCACCTACACCAAGATCACAGTGGCGTGTTTGACCTCTAAGAGCGCGTCTCTGAACCGTAAGGCGCTCCAGACCTGCTCCACACACCTGCTGTCCTACCTGGTGTTCCTGTGCAGTGGGCTGCTCATTATCACATTCCACAGATTCCCACAGCTCACGCAGGAGAGGAAGTTCATCACGATCATGTACCACCTCCTCCCCAGCGGCCTCAACCCGCTCATCTATGGCGTCCAGTCCAAAGAAGTCCGCCGTGGATTCAGAGGGATGGTTTCCAAGATCATCACTGTCAAACAAAAATAGAAAATGAATTTTCCGTATTTTTCAACTCATTCACAATAACTCATAAGCTCAGGCTAGAGTGTAGATCGGGCTGAATTTTTCTGTCCAGGCCTGGCCCACGTTCGACAGCAGTGATCAAATCCGAGCCCAATCGGCATTAAGATATTTGTCCGACCAGTCCGACCGAACCCGACACAATTAAAATCACACTATTTTCATAGGCCGACTAATGACACACATAGCATATTGTTTGTGTGGCCTCTAACGGACACAGAGATGCAAAATACAAACTCAGGATATAGCGAAAATAACGAGAAGACTTTATTACTCACCTCTTGTAAAGTTGTAAATTTAAAGAGCAGAATCTCATCTACATTATCCATAGAAATTGTCCTCTGCAAATAATGACACCCAGTCCACAAAACTGCAGTGTGAATCCAATTTGAAGCGTTATTTAAAAGTAAAAAGGTGAGAGTAGTTCCTCAGGTGTGTCTGTTTACATCCACACAGCGCACGGATCGAGGTGAAGCTGCAGATTTGTGACAGTGACTTTATTGCCAATCTTTTAGGCTTTAAAAATCACATATCTGAAGTTTTGCACCACATTTCACAAATAATAATAAGACAGTTTTGACTTGTATCTAAACTAGAAGTGCAGTGCTCTTTTGAACACTTAAGAGTCTCAGAGCGAGTGGTTTTAGTGTAGACAGGAATCAGCTGACGCCTTGATGTGCCTTGATGTGTCCGAGTCCAACTCAAGCCCAAACATAAGTTCTAAATATTTGTTGAACTTCCATGCTTTCCATGCTCTAGCCCTGGCATCCACGATCCATTGGCAGATCGTGGTGTAACTCGCCCGGTGTTGCCTCCCTGTCTTTGTGAATGTGTATTACTCCGAGAGGCTCCTGACTACAGTAGCCATAATGCTCCGACAATCCATCAAACGGTGCGGCTTCGAAGTTTACCAAAGTTGTACTAACACATTCTGACAGAGATTTTTGAGCGCCATGTACCACATAAAATCAGTTCGAGGTCAGTAAACACAACCAGAATTAATACATGAAATGCACCAAATTATAAGACGCTCTGTTAAGTTTTAAAAAAATTAAAGGATTTAAGTGCGCCTTATTGTCCAAAAAATATGGTATAAGCTTCGATATTACACAAAATGGATTCTTGTGAGCTTTTAGCCCTTTTATAATGCCACTAGTTGTGTTTTGTTTTTCACAGTTGTACATCTGGTATGCAGAGTTTGTGTGTTTGCATGAGGATGAAATAGTGTAATATGAGCCCTTTAAGGGTACCTCGTTTGAATTGTCTTAAAGGTCTATGACAGATTTAATGTTTTTCTAATCAATCTGATCAATATTTATCATAAAGTTTTACATCATTTAAGTGGAATTTTGTGGAATTTTTTTTTAAATAAAAGTACAAAAATATAGGAAGTAGCACTAAGTTGTAAAACAGAATCCCTCTGTGTCATCTCGATGGGAAACTCCAATTTATTAATGGTCTGAGTGTTACTGTGACATGAGCCTCATCACACACAGAGGCATTTATGTTTATGTGATTTATGTTGATGGTAAAATCCCCATCCCAGTGTCCTTAGGCAACACATCAGGAAAACAATGACACATTTTCATACATATTTATTAAACAGAAAAATCCCTTCAGAACAAAAGACTCAGTTCAGATAAAAGTTTTCTGTATCACTTCCTGTCAGTGTGAGCGGTCTGACATGCGTTTCCCCTGGAACAATGTGCGCACATAGTTTCGTATCTCGTGCGACTGCAGGCCGTAGATGAGCGGGTTGAGGCAGCCGGGGAGGGCGAAGTAGAGGGCGCTGGCGAGGAGGCGCTCCTGTCGTAGTTCTGGAAAACGTGTGAACAGGATCAAGGTCAAACCGCTGACGAGAGTCAAGAAGTAGACGAGCAAGTGTGACAGACAGGTGCGCAGGGCCTTAGGGTTTAGAGCACGGTCGCGCTGCACACTCACCGTGATGATGCTGCCATAGGTTAGCACCATGGAGCCCGCTGACGTCACGTACAGCACCGAGGTGAAAGTCAAACCGTACACGTTATTCACATAAATGCTCTCACATGATAAACCGAAGAGTGCCGCGTTACTGCAGAACAACCCGACCACCAGCACGCGGCAGCGGCTCAGAGGCACCGTGAGCCCGATGAGCACAGACACGAGGACGAGCGCCGCGCTCCACGCAGCCACCAGCAGCTTTGCTAACATTCGCGGGCTCATGATGGAGGCATAACGCAGCGGCAAACACACCGCCACATAACGGTCAAAGGCCATCACCATCAGCACTGTCCTCACACCTGTCGCCAGCAGGTGGCTCCAGAATGCCTGTGTCACACACTCGGCGTACGTGATGAGGCGCGCGGGCGGCGGGCGCAGCATGTCCAGCAGTACGCGAGGCAGCACGTTCACATTAGCTAGTATGTCGATGACGGCCAAGTTACAAATGAGCAGGTACATGGACGTGTGCAGACGTCGATCGGAGATCACGGCACAAACGACCATCGTGTTAGCACCGAGAATGAAGACGAAGCAGAGCAGCAGAAACACGAACACACAGAGAGAAAAGAGAGGAGGCAGAGAGAAGCCCTCCAGGAGAAGAACAGGGCTGTTCCACGTCACATTCTCCATCGGGTCCTCAGACAGGTGCTCCAGCAGGTGTACTGTCAGGTGCTATGGCAGGGTGTCCATCAGGTGCTCTGTTGCCCTGAGGGGAGATGGAACAAGTGCTAGAATCAAAAAAGGATTTGCTTGAGAAAAAATCATGTATAATAACTAAAATATAAACTATGATTAGATGTAGACGTGTATCAAATGATGTGACTTTTAGTGAATCTAAATACAAAAGAATCATTAGCAGTGCAGATAAATGGCCGTGTGGACAGAGCTGAGTGAAAAACATCAGTTCCTGTCTCTTCTGGCCTGACCTGGTACAGACTAAACCCGGGACTAGATCAGGACTCTACCAGGACTGAAACCAGACTAGACTAGGACCAAACTTCGTTCCTGTCAGAATTTAACTGGGCTCAAGGAAGCCAAATATCTCTTCTAAAAGGTTATTTTCCAGGATAAAAAACGTTGATAGTTTGAGGCTGAACCATTTTAAACTTGTTTTTAATCCTGCACATTTGTGACTCACCCTGTATTGTCTGATCTCAATTCACATGAGGCAAAGCAATGAGTTTAACACAGGTCCAAACTCAACAGTTTATGAAAATACATAAACTAAGAGATTCACACTGGTCCTGGTTTAGTCCAGGTTTCGTCCAGTATTTGATGTGATTGACAGAGTGTAAAATCTAACTTAAAATGTCCAGTCCTTTTTGTGACAAACAAACAATCTTTCAGTGCCTACTTTTGTGAAATATTTTTAAAATGCCTTTGTACCTTTGGTTTTTGGATCAAACAAACATGATGGTTGTAAAAGAGAGAAATTATGAAAGAAGATTAAGATTATGAACTCAGCATAATAAAAATCACTTAAACACACATCGTTATAACATCAGTGTGAAGCGTCTGCAGGGATCAGTACAGCTACAATAGTTCACATCAGTGTAGCCAAAGGGTATTTAAAACATCTTAAATTTCATGTTCCTAAATAAAGGCCTTAAAAAGTCTTAAATTATGTTGTCCAAGTCTTATTTTTTTCACAAAGGACTTAAATTTCAGTAGTCTATTTTCTGTTATCTCAACCGAACTGCAGTGCAATGTTAAACGGAGTGAGGAAAAAAAACAACAATGTGAAATCACATAACACAAATAAACGTCTAATTTGGGGTCTGTGCAAACAATACTTTGGTTTCTGGCACCGGCGGCAATGAGTAAACAATCAGTAGAGTGGAGGAAGACGTTGGATGGATCATGGGGATGTGCAGGTTTAATCCACAGTGGCTCTTAGATTCTAGGTGTAGTAGTTAGTTGGTCATTATTAGAATTGGATCTGGTGTTTTTCGCCCACGTAATGGGTGCGATGTTGGTCTTAATTTTCATTTAAGTGGTCTTTAAAAGGTCATAAAAAAGTCTTAAATTTGGGGCAGTCAAACCTGAGGATACCCTGCACATGTAGTTTTATTAAGAGCTAGTACAGTTAATGTTAACAGGCCCGACTGATATGGATGTTTTGAATCTGTTCCAATACCGATAAAACGAGCTTTGGAGGTGCCGATAGCTGATATAAAAGCCTATGTATTTAGCAAAATTTACTGTAACTCTTCAGCTGCTTATAAAAGCTGAGTTGGGTGTAAGCTGGGTTTATTTAGGCTACATTTGCTGTTATTTTGCTTCTTTACAGTCATATTTAAAGACAGTAGGTCGACCTAAGGGCACTTTTGCATGACGTTCCAGTCAGTAAACAACTACCACTTCAGCGGTAATCTATTATATTTGTAAACATGGACTGTTCCAATCTTTATTCACAGCTCATCTACACTATAATGAGAGCTAAAATGTAGTTTGTACCCGACATCTAAAACAAGAAAATCAGATAAACACAAACATTTATCACTGAGACAGACTTTGGATCAGATACAGTTGAGCTGAATGGTATTTCTATATGCAACTGTAAAAAAAAACAACTTGTTTCTGGTTTCTGAGTGTGTCAATAATTACAGCAACAACAGCTCCATGGATAAAAATGAGTCAGTAAAAAGCAAAGAATCACATTTTGTCTGTTCTGCTTCCCATAATTCTGCCCCAGAGCTGCTCAGTTCACGTTGAGGAGCATTTTCCAAATAAAATAACCTCTATAGTTTGAATAGTTAGTGCAGGTCAAACATTCATATAATAATGTCACGAGTCTAGTTTGAATAGCGAGTACAGTTAGATCAGTTTAAAGTTGTTATAATTCAGATAAACATCCTGAGACTCACCTGGAGCTGGTCTGAGCCGCTCTCAGTCTGCAGCTCTTTTATTAAACCTCCTTGACCCTCCTCTTCCTCAGCAGTTGCTCCTCATGCCAACACATCTGCTCTGGGGCAAAAGGACCAGAGCCACAAATACCCCAGGGCGGGTGGTGTATATGTGGGTGAAGCGGGTGGTGTATTTGTCTTGCAGGGAGGGGAGTGGTGCACCAGTGATCTTCCTGGCTGTGTTCACGATACGCTCCAAGACTCTCCAGTTGTGGTCAGTGCAGCTTCCGCCTCACACAGTGATGTAGCTGAAAGGTGCTCTCATTGGTTCCTCTGTAGAATGTGGTCATGACGGTGGTGAGGCTCTTGTCCGCTTGAGTTTTTGCAGGTAGTAGAGGCGCTGTTGGGCTTTCTTCACCAGTGCTGTGGTCCAGGAGTCCTCACTGATGTGCACCCCCAGGAATGTAGTGCTGCTCACTCTCTCCACAACAGCACCGTTGATGGTCAGGGTCTGGTGTTGGGTGTGGCCTCTCTGGAAGTCGACAACAATCTCCTTAATCTTGCTGACATTCAGCTGGAGGTTATTGTCTCTGCACCACGTGGTCAGAAGGTCATCCTCTTTCCTGTAGAGAGTCTCGTCGCCTTTGGAGATGAGACCCACCAGAGTTGTGTGCAGTCATGTCAGCAGGGTGAAGAGCACAGGACTGAGTGTGCAGCCTTGGGGAACCCCTATGCTCAGACTGATGGTGTTTGAGGTGTTTTTGCCAACATGTTCTGCTTGCAGTCTCTGGCTCAGGAAGTCCAGCAGCCAGTTGAAAAGGGAGGTGCTGAGACCCAGCTTGTGGAGTTTGCAGATGAGTTGTTGTGGTATTATGGTGTTGAATGCTGAACTGAAGTCTATGAACAGCATTCTCACATATGAGTCTTTATTGTGCAGATGGGTGAGGGCAGGTGGAGGGCAGAGCAGATCGCATCCTCTGTGGAATGTTTGGCTCAGTTTGTGAACTGGAAGGGGTCCAGGGTGAGGGGGGGAGGATGGATTTGATGTGAGACATGACTAACTGTTCAAAGCTTCATGATGATGGCACTAAACCTGTGTGATATATCCACTACCAAACACAAGAAATATGAATGTGGCAGTGTTGAAGCGTTATTTAAAAGTAAAAAGGTGAGAGTAGTTCCTCACGTGTGCCTGTTTACATCCACACAGTGCACAGATCGAGGTGAAGCTGCAGATTTGCGACAGTGACTTTATCAGCAATCTTTTATGCTTTAAAAATCACATATCTGAAGTTTTGCATCACATTTCACAAATAATAATAAGACAGTTTTGACTTGTATCTAAACTAGAAGTGCAGTGCTCTTTTGAACACTTAAGAGTCTCAGAGCGAGTGGTTTTAGTGTAGACAGGAATCAGCTGACGCCTTGATGTGCCTTGATGTGTCCGAGTCCAACTCAAGCCCAAACATAAGTTCTAAATATTTGTTTGAACTTCCATGCTTTCCATGCTCTAGCCCTGGCATCCACGATCCATTGGCAGATCGTGGTGTAACTCGCCCGGTGTTGCCTCCCTGTCTTTATGAATGTGTATTACTCCGCGAGGCTCCTGACTACAGTAGCCGTAATGCTCCGACAATCCATCAAACGGTGCGGCTTCGGAGTTTACCAAAGTTGTCCTAACACATTCTGACAGAGATTTCTGAGCGCCATGTACCACATAAAATCAGTTCAAGGTCAGTAAACACAACCAGAATTAATACATGTGCACCGAATTAAAAGACGCTCTGTAGATTTTTGTGTTGTGTTTTGTTTTTCACACTTGTTTACATCTACAACGAAAGGGCGAAAGGACCAGAGCCACAAATACCCCAGGGCAAAAGGACCAGAGTCACAAATACCCCAGGGCGGATCAGTGCCACATCTGCCCCGGGGCGAAAGGACCAGAGCCACATCTGACTCGTGCAAAAGGACCAAAGCCACATCTGCCCTAATGTCAGAGTCACAGGGGCAGATGTGGCTGGGGCAAAAAGACCAGAGCCACAAATACCCCAAGGCAGATCAGGGCCACATCTGTCCCAGGACAAAATGACCAGAGTCACATCTACTCCGGGGCAAAAGGACCAGAGCCACATCTGCCTCGAGATCAGAACCACACCTTCCCCAGGGCACATCTGTCCTTGGACGACCACATCTGTCCCGAGTCTGTCTGCATAGGCCGCAATCACATTCACACATTTATGAAGTGTCTTGCCAAGGGGAATGGCTGTTTAATCAGGCTCAGGGATTTGAACCGGCAACAATAAGGTCAATAACAAAATTATTAAAACAGAATAACACTAACCACTGAGGAATAAGAAACATACATACTTACATTTTAATAATTTGTTTTTTGACAACAGAACAAATCAGTTAACAGCAACAATTAGAAAAAGTACAAAAGTACAAGTACAAAACATTATATGATTATATTTAAACTATTTTTTTAGTTTAGACATTCAGGGTCCATTGAACATTGCTCCTCACAGTTAAAGCTAAAATTAAAACAGACCCCAAGTTAGAGATCGACTGATATGGGTTTGTTCATGGCTGATGCCGATAGAGACTGTGTAGAATTCATGGGCAACAAAAAACCTCTGTTGATGTTTTTGGGCCAGTATGTGGGGCCATATGTATTACCATATTTTTCTGACTATAAGTTGCTCTGGAGTATAAGTTGTACTAGCCAAAAGATGAGCAATGAAGAAGAAATAAACATATAAGTTTGGGGGAAATTAATTTTATATAATCAGAGACCAAGAACTGACATTCCCTGTGTAAAGTCAAGTTCTAGTAAAAACAATAGAAGAGAGAACAACAGACTGTTAACGTCACATATGAACAGTTCAGATAAATTATAACATAAACAACAGAACAGAACAAGTTTAACCAAACTCTCCATCTCACTCCAAATCACTAAATCCATTCAATTCTTCATCCTCGGTGTCACTTCTGAACAACTCCACGACCTCCGGAGGTAAACAGAGCGCCGCTTCCTCTTCTGTGTCGCTGTCGTCAGACTCAGCATCAGTTCCAGTTACAATTATTCAGGTCTTTCTGAATCCCGACAGGATGGTTTTGGTGTCACTGAAGCCCAGGCTTTGTCCATCCATCCAGTGACTTCAGGAAAGTTTCATGGTGCATCCTCCCGCTTACCATGAAGCTGTATTCTCTATCCCCGTTTTCTCGCTCACTCCAAATTTTCTTTCTGCTGCTCCATTACCATTTTCAGCTGAGTATTTCACTATTTGCAGCAGGACAGAGGCTCTTTCTGCAGGAGACATGCGCAGTAGAGCCAAGTGACAGTGGTACAGGAGGAACAGGAGCAGCAGAAACTGACACACAAGACTAGAGCCTCTCGCCGCTTCACTCTCAACATTTTAATATATAAGTCGCAGTAAACACCCAAACCATGAAAAAAAGTGTGACTTATAGTCTGAAAAATACAGTATTTTCCCCAAATTAGGTTATTTATTATTGTCATCCTAAAGTAAACTACTGGTCAAAAGTTTTAGAACACCCTAATTTTTCCAGTTATTTATTGCAGTTCAAGTCGTGCAAGTCCAATGAAGAGTTTGAAACGTTACAAAGGTAAGAACTGAACAGACAGAGGTTAAAAAAAAAAAGAGATAAAAGATACAAAACACAAGTCCAAGCTCTGCCAAAACTACCTCAGGAAAAACTTAGACTTAAACCCCATGGAGCTGGTTTGGGAGGAACTGGACAGAAGAGTGAAGCAACCTACAAGTGCCACACATTTATGGAAACTTCTGCAACAGACTTGGGAAGAACTTTCTGAACAATATTTGATTTCTGTTGTAAAAAGAATGAGCCACGAGTGTGTTCAGTGTTCTATCTGCCAAAGGTGGACACTTTCATGAATCAAAACTTTAGAATCCATTTTGGTCAACAGTAAAGAGTAAAAAATATTGGAAAAAGTGTGGTGTTCTAAAACTTTTGATCAGTAGTGTTGTTTAATGACAGATGTAGGTCTTGTTTCTCTCTGGTTCCTCTTTATCATGATGGTTTGACAGTGCCCTGCTTTGCACCGCAGCCACACATCCGGCTGATCCGGTCTCTCACCTCTCGGATCTGCAGACCGTAGATCACAGTGTTTAGTGCCGGAGGAACCACGTGGAACAAGATGGACGCCATTTTTCTGTGCTGGTCGAGGGAGGGGAAGCGGTGGAGGATGATGAGGATGCTGCCGGACACGAGCAGGAGCAGGTAGGACGCCAGGTGAGAGGCGCAGGTCTGCAGCGCGCGGCGGTTGAGCGAGCCGCTGCGGCGCGTCATGCAGACCACGGCGATCCGCATGTACGTCACCGCCACGCTCCCTATCGACGAGCCCAGCAGGACCACCGTGTAGAACAGCCCGTACACGTTATTGATCAGGACGGACTCGCACGACAGTTTGAAGAGTGACGCATTATCGCAGAATGGGTGCGACACGTAATTACGGCAACGCGACAGCCGCACCGACAGCAGGATCAGAATCAGGACCATGACGAAGCAGACGCCCCACAGGGAAAGCGACAGGTACAGCACAGCGCGGTGCGTCATGATCAGGGAGTACCTCAGCGGCTTCACGATCGCCACGTAACGGTCCAACGCCATCGCCATCAGAACTGTGTGGACCACACTGGCGTGGAAGTGAGCGCAGAATGCCTGGAGCACACACAGGCTGTACGAGATGTGTCTATGGAGAGGAGAGCAAGAGGTCAGAAGGAGGGGGCAGAAAGACTCTCACAGACATTTTCAGAAGTTTCTATCTTTTTGGATCAGTGGCCAATTGCTATTTCATAAAGTGCAATGTAATCCCAAACTGCTCATGTTCAGCAGACAGGGCACCCACAGCTTTCAAAAAAGTCAGATATTCAGGCTATTTTCACCTATTTTTAGGTCATAAACTTTTTCTCGGCTCAGAATCCTTCACCTGTCTTAAAACCTTCTTTTTAATCATTAGCTTTGACTCTGCTCTATCTACTCTGGCTCTGATTGTTCAAAGTGGTCCTGCAGTACACGAGACTGCGCTCTTGACACTTTGTGCGTGCATTGTCGTGAGAGAAAAGCTCCACTGTGCATGTTCAATGGGCAGGACAGCCATCGGGAGAACGTAGACTAATCTAGAGACATGCTCCATTGAGCTCGGCCCATTGACTTGAATGGACTGACATGTTTAGGTTTAGGTAAAAATGGATACAATGTCGGACTTTGCATTTCACACCTCGGCCTTCTGAAACAATCCACTCCTCAATAACTATTTTATGGTCTGGTCTTGGTCTGGTCTCGGCCTCAGTTCTGGCCTCAGTCCCGATCTCAGTTCCAGTCTCAATCACGGCCTGGTCCTGGTTTGGTCCCGGCCCCAGTCCTGGTCTCAGTCCCGATCTGTTCCCGGTCTCAGTCCTGGTTCCGTCTGCCATCTCAGTTTAAGTCATGAAAACGAGAAACATCCATTTTCCATTTTTTCCATTTTTCATTTAAACACAAAATTGAAAACTGAAAAAACAAATCATTACCTGTTTTTTTTCCTTTTGGTTTTCGATAATGAAGAATTTTTTTTTGTTTTGTTTGATTTGTTATTTTTGGTTTTATATTGAAAAACAAATGAACGAATGACACACGGGTTTTTATAGAGTCTGTGGGCTGCACCTGCCGCTCTGTGTCATACCTGGTCCCGCTGGGCGTTAGTAGGTCCTGCAGCAATCTGGGGATGACCACCGAAGCCCCAAACACGTCGTTGAGGCTCATGTTGCAGAAGAGCAGGTACATGGGCGTCCTGAGGGAGCGCTCCACGCAGATGAGCAGCACCAGGCCCACGTGCGACACAACGATGAACACGTACATCACAAGAAGGAGCGCGAAGGCCAGGGGGGCGGAGCCAGGGGACACGGGCACGCCCTCCAACAGGAGCATGTCCAGGTGCACCGACAGGTTCGCCATCTGTGACAGGTGAAGACGGGAGTAGAGCCACAGAAGCAGAATCCATGTGTCATTCGTTCATTTGTTTTTCAGTATAAAACCAAAAATGTCTTCATTATTTGTCTCCAAAACCAAAATGAAAAAACGGATAACGATTTGTTTTTTCAGTTTTTGATTTTGTGTTGAAATTAAAAATGTAAAAAGAAAAGGATAACGTCCGTTTCCCGTTTCTGTGACTTAAACTGGGATGCTGGACTGAATCAGGACTAAACCTTTTTCAGTTCTGGTCTGGTCCCAGGCTCAATCGTGGTCAGGTCCCGGTCTCAGTCCTGATCTCACCCACAGTCTGGTCCCAGTTTTGGTCTCAATATGGTCCTGTTTCGGTCCTGGTCAGGTCCCAGTCTCAGTCCCGGTCTCAGTCTTGGCTGTAGTCCGGGTCGCAGTTCTGATCCTATTCCCGGTCTCAGTCCCAGTCTCAGTCCAGTCAGTCTCAGTCCCTGGTCTCAGTACCAGTCTCAGTCCCAGTCTCAGTCCCTGGTCTCAATCCCCAGTCTCATCCAGGTCTCGGTCCCGGTCTGGTCCTGTCTCGGTCCCGGTTTCAGTCCCTGTCTCAGTCCCAGTCTGGTCCCAGTTTCGGTCCCAGTCTGGTCCCGATCTCACTGGAAGAAAAAGGTTGGAGACCCCTGGTTTAAAACAACTGTGGAAATGACGTAGTTGCACTTGGTTCAGCCCTAGTTTACCTGGAATAATCCCGCTGTAAATCTGATTTAGATCTGGTTGAGTTGTAGATTAGACCTGGAATAGTCCTGCTATAGATCTGGTTTAAACCTGGTTTAGATGGAGATTAGACCTGCTGTAGTCTTGTTGCAGATCTAGTTTAAACCCAGGTTAGTGCAAAACCCAAAGAGATAAGACGGGCAAGAAGGGCCTGAAATGTCACAGTGTGGTGCAGATCTCTTTCTTTTTTTGCACTATTTTTGTCTTTGGACCAAGTACAAAGTCGCAATTTTTGCTGGATGTGCATGTCTCTATCTACCAGTATTTAAACCCAGATTAGACCTGTAGTAGTTGTGTTATAGACCTGGTTTAGTCCTGGAATAGTCCTGTTATAGACCTGGTTTAGACTTGGTTTAGACTCGGTTTAGACATGTTATAGACCTGGTTTAGACTTGGTTTAGACCTGGTTTAGACTTGGTTTAGTCCTGGAATAGTCCTGGAATAGACCTGGTTTAGACCTGGAATAGTCCTGTTATAGACCTGGTTTTACTTTAAATGACATACAAATACAAATTTAAATAAAATACAAATACAAAAAACATCCCAAAAATCCTGGCCCAACAAAATAAAGTTAATTTGCTGTGGGGTTAATAATGTGAACATAAAAGCTGAGAACTGGACTTTTGGTCATGAAATACAAAAAGAAGATGGAAAAAACAAAGAACCTTTAAAAAAAATCTAAATAAACCAAATGTAAATGATATAAACTCTTATGCAATAAATACAAAATACATCATCAGTGTCAGTAACAGATAATACAATCCAGAAAGTTAAAACACGTGTGACTGTGATCTGTGTGTTGGAGGTGACAGGAGACACTCACCTGAGCCTCAGCAGGTGTGACAGGTGCGACAGGTGTTTCTCCACTTATATAACATCCAACCCAAACCTCCAGAGCCTCACAGACAAAGTCATCCAAGTGAAGAGAAACACAGCTGAACATAGTCCTAGTTCAGTCCTGGTAAACTCCAAACTTTAGATAGACTTAAGCATCTGTTTTTTAAAACCCAATATTGTTATTATTATTATTTTTTTATCATTTAAAAGAGTTTACACCTGCTGCAGATTTTTATATTGTTTTATATTAAAGGCCCATATTACTTATATTTTCTGATCAATGTACCGTATTTTTCAGACTATAAGGCGCATCGGATTATAAGGCGCAATATCAATAATGTTGAATTCTCTCGTCTGTTTTCATACATGAGGTGCACCAGGTTATAAGGCGCATTAAGCGAAACAAATGGATGACACTTGAGACTGATCCTTAGTCCAAGCGTCCACAATCCATCAGCAGATCGTGGTGTAATTCGCCCTCCCCGTCTTGGTGAATGTGTATTATGAATGTGATGTTTGTGGATAATTTAAGTTTGTCTTTTCATTTCCTACGAGGACGACTCAAATATACATTGAGTAATAATGTGTTTTAAGGAAACAAAACTTAAAGCCACATGACTCATATGCATAAACTATAAGAGCTGAAAAAAAAACTTGCTCCTTGTGCGCTGATGCGGTTCAGCTTCTGTCGGACTAAAAGACACGACTTATTGCACAAGGCTCCTGACTACAGTCGCGCTCCTTCGTAGTTTACCAAAGTCGTGCTAAAACATTTTGACAGATTTTTGAGAGCCATGTACCACATCAAATCGGTTTGAGGTCAGTAACACAACCAGAACTAATACATAATGTGTACCAGATTATATAGGTGCACTGTAGATTTTTGAGAAAAGGCGATTTTAAGTGCACCTTAGTTTGAAAAACACGGTAGTTTCCTCGTCACAAACAGACCTGGAGTTGTGCTTTGTTTCATTCTCTCATGTTTAACACACAAATAACAAACATTTTGAGCTTTGGAGATGTAGACAGATTAATAATAAAGGGTTACTCAAATGGGGGTGTGTTTTTTTCGAGGTAACAACATTATAACTTAAAGCTTACAAGAGTTAATTTGGGGTAATATGGGACATTTGAAGGCCCTACATTGCACAAATTTTACTTTTGTGAGCTTTAAACCATATTAGAATGTTGCCATCTGATCAAAAACACACAAACGAATCTGTGTATCACCATATCGGAAACGATCTGCGTCCACACACGTCGTTTCTGTGTCAGTAATCAAAGCGTTCCCTGTCCACACAGTAACGCAAAACTGCCTAAAATGCTCATCACGTGATCGGCTGGTGTCACATTGTCATGATGTCCCAACGTCACGTGAGCAGTAAAAACGTAAAGTCTGAAGTTGCAGCAGCTGATTTTGAGCCATTGTGATGGCAAGTGTAAAAAAAAGTCTTTTCATGGACCGACAACGAGGTTCAGTTGTTACTTAGCATAACACTGGATTTTAAGACGAGCATGGCAGCTCAGAGTGAGGACTGACTCGTTTCTGTGTCTGCAATACTTCCCTGTAGGCGAGCTTCAGCTGACGTCATTGTTATTAAAAGCCCGCGTTGCATGCTGGGAAATATTTTGGTCAGACTAAGAAACACGATGCGTAACCTCGCGTATTTCTCCCTGGTAATGGTAAATTCCTGCTGCATTATCGTATACACAAATAGAAGCACGGAAAAAGGAAAATGTCTTTCATATTCGGAGTGAAAAGAACCACTAACGGTGAATTAAATGGCTTTTAAACATTCGCAGAGCAAACGTAGAAGATCCTAACAAACCGTGGACTCCAACAAGTTCAACAACACATCGAGACTCTTGGAGGTTTTCATCTTTTCTGCTGTGAATGGTCCAGGAGTTTCCACCAAGTCACTGTGGATATCGCCCAAGTGAATATTTGGCCAGGTAGTTGACGATTCTGACCAGAAATTTGGTTTGGTCCACCTTTTGTCGGGGTTGAAAAGGGTGATTTGGTGTCCTTCGATGCTTATGACCAATTTCTGGTCAAATGGTCTTGGGTCCTCTGCCATTAGAGTGGATAAATAACCAGGATCAATACCCTTTACGTGCTTTCTCACTCTGTCCGTCATATTGAATTAGTGTTTCTTGCCACCGACCAAAATAATTCAGAGGATGCGATGTACGCTTTTGTCAACAGTGAAACTCGCCTATCCACACAGCTTTCAGCATATTTGTTTACATTTTACAGAAACTAAACTTAAAACCACATGGCTAATTTGCATAAACTAAATGCTCATAAAAACAGCTCGCTATTGTGTCACTGATACAGTTCAACTTCTGTCCGACTAAAGGACACGACTCAGTGCAATATGAGTGTTCTTTCTGTGACAGAGGGGTGTTCTGATGATGGTGAGTCTGTTCTGTGCTTTTATGATGGTTCATGTTAAACTTTTCAGAGATTATAAATCTGCAGGTCGTACACACAGACACGTTTATATGAAAGGACATTTTAGCCTCTTAGTGTTTTGGCAGAGAATTACCTCGAGGTGCACAGACCTACATCAGCGTATCAGCGTTTTCAGGTGTCCACACAGTGCTGGATCAGATCTGTACTCAGATGAATTCATGGGAGCTGGAGGCACCAAATTTTTCCATCTCTGGAACCGTTTTCAATCAGATTAGTGTGAATGAACTCTGTATCCACAATGAAAATGACTCAAATACGAACAAGTGTGGACAGGGCTGTAATCTACATTGAAATGGAGCAAAAGATCATGGTCTATGTAGTTCCCTCTGTGTTTTTGGCCCGAGCCAGTAATGAAGTAAAAGAATCAAGTTCCCGGGGTTTGGTCCAAATGAGCTCAGATTTGACATGTCACTTCTACAGACATAAACTCACAGAAATTTTCAACTTTTTTTGGGATACTCCTTGGATACTGATATGGGTTTGTTCATTGCTAATGCCGATACCGATTGTTTAGAATTCGTGGGCAACAAAAAAACCTCTGTTGATGTTTTTGGGCCAATATGTGTGGCCATAGGTATTTACCATATTTTTTGGACTATAAGCCGCTCCAGAGTAGATATCGCAGCAGCCAAAAAATGCAGAATGAAGAAGAAAAAAACATATATAAGTTGCACATTTTGGAGGAAATTTATTTTATAAAATCAGAGACCAGGAACTGACATTTCATGCTGAAAGTCAAGTTCTAGTAAAAACAACAGAACAGAGAACAACAGACTGTTAACGTCACATATGAACAGTTGTTCAGATAAACTATAACATAAACAACAGAACAGAACAAGTTTACCAAACTCTCCATCTCACTCCAAATCACTAAATCCATTCAATTCTTCATCCTCATTGTCAGTTCTGAACAACTCCACGACCTCCGTAG